GCCAATATATTATCACTCTAGTTCAGAGACGGAGTTATAATTAAACATCGAGAGAGATTAACTTGTTTAACTTAAAAAAAACATATACCCAATAATGATTTAAACCTAAAAATTAGAGGAGATAAGACATATTTTGATTAATATTTAAAATAATAGAAAGCTAAAATATCATTTCACGAAAAATAAATAAATTTGAGGGGCAAGAGCCCCTCCCAAGCAATACATGATTTCATCACTGCTCTTGATTATTACAATGGAGGACAGACGAGTGTGTTTTGGTAAACTGTCAAATTAATTTTTCATGCCCGATATCGTGAAGACAATTGAGGTTACGTAAGTTTTATCAAAGTAATATACTTTGATTGCCTCGTACAACTTTTAAAATTGTTGTACTTAACTAATATTATTAAGAAATTGCAACTAGAGATTTCTTTCATTTCTCGTCGGTAAGTCGTTTATTTTTTTTGTCTTTGTTGATTGACAATGATATCAACTTTAATGTTAGTTGCCGATCGTCAGTATTTTTTATTATTTTTTTATTTTCTCTTATTTTTTTTTATTTTCAATAAGTATGTTTGTATGACACATTTTCTTATGCCTTTTAACACATTTTTGCCGTTTTGTCGTCATTTTTCATTTTTTATTTTCTAATGATTGATTAGACATTGTCACGACTGATCAAGATGATACTTATATGTTATATTGTTGATCTTCCATACTTTGGACCCTCGGATTGAATTTGGATACCCGTTATGCGTTCGTGGATAACTTTTCACGTCTCTCGAGTCTGATTTGTGGTTTTTCAGTGGTCTTTTAGTAGCTTGATCCCTTTTTATAGTTCGTTTGTCGATACGATCAGATCTGTTTGTATCTATCTTTATTCGAATTTTCTTAGTCAGATTTTAATCTTTCCTTTTATGGTACTTATGTGATATTAAATTGCTAGTTTTGTTTAAATGATTATAGAAAATTATCTTAATTATGAGCTTAATTTAAGATTATGATTGTAAATCTTTATTTTAATTTGTAATATTTTCTATTTTTGAATAAAATTAATGATTTTTTTATTAAAAAAAGTGTTGTACTTTTAACCAAATATGTGTGGATTATTTTGTACGAGAGCAATGAAATGAATAATGAATAACCCAACATATCTATTTATAGGGAGATATAAAAATATAGTGTAAAATTAATTATGAGTATAAATTCAACCAAACATATATATTAATAAAAATATTTTTTAAAGTTTTTCAATGAATTAGGAGAATATTTGAAGATAGCATCGAACGCAAACAATTTAAGAAAAATGAATTGTCCAACTAATGAAGTCAGTGACTATCAGCTGCAGCATCACAAGGAGAGATTAACAAAGTCGGTGACTGTTCTCTTCGTTTACTACATATATTCATCTGTTCACCAATGCTTTCCTTTTGTTTTTTCATTTTGAACTGCTCTGCTATACTCCCTCTTTCCGGCCTCGGGGTGGTCGTTTGGCCTTGACCAGCGGCTATTTTACTGTTTTTCTTTAGTCTTATTGTAAATAAATAATCACTCCTCTTGTATTTTAAGGGAGACGAAGGTTTAATATGGGTATTAACTATTCTCTCCTCCCCTTCCCCTTTGATGGGGGTCATGGTTATCGTTGTTTTCCGATCTAGTTTTCGGAGCATGGTCAGGTTTTGGTCGTTTTCATGTTTATCCTTGGTTTCGTGCAATTATTTGTTTGGTGTTAAGTCTATTTCTAGGGTCGTTTTTTACTGATGTTGGCACCTGTTCGTTATTCGAGTTTGTGCGTAATATGTGATGGTCTGTATGCTTGACGTTGATCCATATTATTCTATTCCAGATTGGTTGTGCTACCTTTTTTGTCTGTCTTGGCACGGTGGCCTATGTCTGCAACTTCTTGTTTTGGGGATTATCTCCTTCGACATATGTGCATGCGCGGTTTGTAGTTTCTTTGTCAGTTCTTACGAATGGTGATAATTTCTTTGACATGTCGTTTGTTGTCTCTTCACGTCATCATATGAGTTTAGTATATCCATCGTACTACCAATGCTATTTCATATATCTTAGTAAATTGGACTTCTGTTAGCGGTTCATTGTTGTATTTTGTCTATAATTGTCTTAATTTACTCTCGAATATTGTTCTTACTGACGCCATTTTTGGGGCTAAGGCAATATAAGTTATTTAATTAAAAAAGAATCTGTTCACCCGTTCACCGATGCAAATGTTAATTACTAGAGATATGGTTTTTAGGGCCAATGGAATGTCAACTCACGATTATGAAGCAATACTGCTTAAAGATTAAGATTCTCTTAGGATCAGTATTCCTTTTTCTTTGGAAAAAAACAGGAGCTTAATTTCGCTGTCATGGCTTACCTCTTAAGTTCATTCAAGAGACAACCTAATTGTCATCAACAGTTTCAACATATATATATATAGTTAATAGTTATTGGAGTCACAGCTGAGCATATATATATATCTTTCACGTGTCTAATTTGTACCAGTAATCCTATCTTGTATAGAAGAAGATGATGGTGCATAAAGATGCTTGATATGTGATAATAATCCAATGAAAAACATACAGACAGAACTTATTCTTTTAATCTTTATCAGAATCTGTAATTGTATCAATGTGGGAGATAAGGTGCCAGCCAGCTGCGATGATCCTGAGGCTATATAAGTAACTCCTTTGTCTCCAAAACTTTGCAGCTCTTACTCAGAGGGTATATATATATATATATATATATATATTAATAAGACGTTTCTCATTAACTCTCCCTCAAAGGCTTCCCCAAAAGTTCATGCATGGGGCTCTTAATGCTACCTATGGAAATGTTTGGCGAAGCCCTTAGGGAGAGTTCATGAGGATTTGTCTCCATTTGCCTGATCACTTTGTCACTCACGAGCAATGGCAGCACAAAGCTTGATCGGTGCCCCAAGGTTGTCTGAGATACCTTATGAGTTTCCGTATGGTTCGAGGCCTGAAATATTCGGAGTAAGCGTGAACAAAACTCAATCCGATTAAAAAATATCAATTATTTAATCATGTTTGAGTTTTGTACTATGTTTGATTTCCCCATTCAGTCTCTGGGATTTTGATTTAACTTATTAGCAACAGTGTCTAACGAAAACGCTTAAACTGACAATTTCTTGTAAACAATACCAAATTTATTACAAATCACGACCATGTTCATGTCTGATGATATTATCTGATCTCTTTTTTTTAATATCACATGCCTTTGGATAAAGAATCGTTTTCAAGATAAACCATCAATACGATCCGTAATCGTACATCGGAGATGGATGCCGAAGTCGCATTCATCGCAATAGTAAACCCAGAGCTTTTTTCCGACATGTTGGCCACAAACATCGCAGACAAAGGATGTAATGTTATGGTCGATGAACGAGAACGAATAGTAGAGGGTGAGCCGATGTTGATGATCCACATGTTTTATCGTTTTGGGCAGCCGAGCACATCCGATATGGAGATTGAATTCGCAAGGGGAGCAGTGGTAATCGAAACCGGTGCCGTAGTCACCGCAAGCATTGCAACCGAAGATTTTGGCACCGTGATTGTCACGACGAGGGTTGGGAAGAAGTTGTAGAAGGTGTTGGGGATGAGATTGGTGTTGCAGTGACGGTTTCAATTCGAAACATGGTTTATGAAGAAGGAAGTCGCAATCGGACTTGGTGCATGCGAAAGTCGAACCGATGACTTGTAGGCCGCAAAAGGAGCAAATAAGCTCGTCGTCTTCTCGTATCCGATCGATTGGCCGTAAAGGATGGTTGTGGCTGAAATGTTTCACGCATGGACGCAATGGGAAATATGTGTAGCGCTTATACATTCTCTTAGCTCTTCTACTAAAGACATGAATATTATGTTCATTATATGTTGCAGTTGGCCTTGTTTTGTAATGTTTGGATTCATTTGTGAATGATGAGGTTCCTTACTTGAAGTGTTTATTGGGTTAATACCATTCCTAGTCCTTTCTTGATTCTAATTCTCTTTATTTGGTTTAAATTTTGGAATCAAGATAAATGGTGGGAGGTAGCCCCTAAATTGGATAAATTTCTCTCGAAGTTGTTTTTTATTTTTTACTTACAAAATATAATCTCGAAATTTCGATTAAACAACATTAAACTCCTTAACTTCCAATTTATTCTTTAAAAAATTCTTTTAACTTATCAATTGATGATTAATCTATCAAATAATTGTTTTTTAATTTAATTTTCTTCGGATATTACTCGATATTTTAGGAGTTAATGCATCTATTTGTAGTGTTCAAACTTAATTCACTACATCAAAACTGTTCTTTAGCGGCGTTTTTAGTGCGTTTTGAGAGTAAACGCCACTAACTTTAAACATATAGTGCCGTTTACATTTCAAACGCCACAAAATGATAACTTTAGCGGTGTTTCTTTACAAACGCCGATAGGTTCATCTATAGTGGCGTTTTTTTCAATAAACGCCGTAACAGATTAGTTCTTTAGCGGTGTTTTTCTACAAACGTCGTAATAGGGTGCACCTATAGTGGCGTTTTTTAATAAACGCCAATTAAGAGAAAATATAATAAAATCATAATCTCAAAAAATTCCATAAAATTTAAATTAATATAAACTAATCACGTCAATTAATCTAAAAAAATTATAAATAATAAATTTCTGAAAATTTGATTGTTATGAATTTTGTGTCATATTAATTAATTAATTTAAAATAATAAATATAGTTTAACATAGGTTGGGTTTGGGTTTAGATTTAGATTTTTGGCCCATAAGCCAACCCAAATAAAAGCAAACAAATCAAAATAAAAAATTATTTAAATATAAATACTAATGTAAAAAATATATTTTTAATCTTGACGTTATTTTAAAAAAATGCATTTTTTGGGAATCTTTTACTTGTTCTCTTATAAAATGAAAGAACTTTTTTTTCCTCTTAATTTATTATTATTTGAGCAAATATAGCAAAGAGCAATAGTAAGCGACTCTATTCTCTGGAGGACACCATAAACCTCACGAGCCACCTCCTCGCCTAAAACCCCTCTACACCTCTCTTTTCAACTTTTCATTACCAAAAAAAAAACCCCCCATAAAGCTTCATTCTTTCTTTTCTTTTCCCCTTTACCCTCTGTCCCCATCTCTGCAATTTGCGTGTCAAGTGTTTTGAAATCTATCTAATTTAATTTTCATGGCAATAAGGACAGCTGGGAAGTTGCTTAAGGATCTCTTGCGCCAAAGGGTTATTTCAACTTCCATTGGATTTGGACCCTCTAGACACTGCTCTTCCGCTGCTACTTCTGCTCCTAAAATTCCCCATTCTTCAAAGAAAGTAAGTTCCTTTTATGAGTGATGTTTAAAGGGTTTATGGGATTTTGTTTACTTTTTCTTATCTTTCCAATATTTTAAGTAATTAAAGTTCAGCTAAGTTTAGTTTAAGGTACTGGGTGTTTTGGAAGTTGTGATTAAGATGATTAACATGGGTTCTTTCTGCTTGAACTGCTTAAGGGAAGAACGTTTGAGAGCATTGACTTCTTACAAATTAAGGGTATTTTTTGCCAGTTCATGTGATAGTTTAAAACATTGAAATTGCAATCTTTGCATTTTTAACTTTTGTAGTGTGAGGCGTTGACTTACTATAATATTCATTTGGTTGTATGCATGTTTCTCTGTTATAAGATATTATTTTCTTTTTGCTTCCATTGTTGTAGGGAAGAAGGTTATTGACGGGAGCTACCATAGGGTTAATTATAACAGGAGGAGCATATGTTAGTACTGTTGATGAAGCAACTTTATGGTACTTATTTTGTACATTCCAATGAAAAATCTCTTCTTTTTAACTTTGTTTCATTCCATGAATGAGAAAGGCTTCCCCTTTTTGGATTAATTGGACTATCTAGAGTTTCCTATTGGTTTTTCTTTCGTTGGATTTTGATATTTGTTCGAACTTTGATCTGAAAAATAAATTGGAAAATGAACGAGCCACTTCAATGGGCACGCCTTTGCAAGTTATATGACTAAATTGGCTGTAAGGAGTAGCAAAGCTTTTCGTCTTTTCAATAACAGTAACGTGGTTGACGGAGAATTTGTTTGTTTTCTTTATTTTCATCACTCTATTTTTTCTTTTGTCATTTTTGGTCTTAATTTATAGCTATCATTGAAGAACACAAAATCTTAATTGTCAATAAGTCTTTTCTATGTTTTGGTTTTAAATTTTATGGATCCATTGATAGAAATACCTTATTCTTGAATGAATCCTCATCTTATAATCTATTTGAGATCAACTTATATGATGTTGGAATTTGGCAGTGGGTGGCTATTCTCAGCGACTAAGCTTGTAAACCCCTTCTTTGCACTTTTGGATGCTGAGAAAGCTCATACACTAGCTGTTGCTGCTGCTGCTCGTGGTTGGGTTCCCAGGGAGAAGAGACCTGATCCACCGATTCTGGGATTAGATGTTTGGGGAAGGAAGTTTTCAAATCCTGTAGGTCTTTCTGCTGGCTTTGATAAAAATGCCGAAGCTGTTGAAGGTTTACTTGGTATGGGTTTTGGCTTTGTGGAAGTCGGATCAGTAACCCCTGTTCCACAAGAGGGTAATCCAAAGCCACGCATCTTTAGACTGCGACAAGAAGGGTAACACCTAATTCTCCTTTTCCACTGTTTCTTTGAAATATCAACTTACCAGTTTTATAAAATGGGCATGAGTAAGGCAATTCTTTCTTGTGGTCTTGACTAGAGATTTGATTGCTTGGACTCATGTCGGTTGGTGTTCAAGTTTTTCTATTCTATCTAACTTGATTCGTTGGGCAGTGCTATCATCAACCGCTGTGGGTTCAATAGTGAAGGAATTGTTGCTGTTGCAAAGAGATTAGGTGCCCAGCATGGTAAGAGGAAGTTAGAGACTTCGAGTACTTCATCACCCTCGAATGAAGAAGTTAAACATGGGGGCAAAGCTGGTCCTGGAATTCTAGGAGTCAATCTTGGGAAGAATAAGTTAACTGAAGATGCTGCTGCTGACTATGTACAAGGAGTTCACACGTTATCCCAGTATGCCGATTACTTGGTAGTTCTATATTCTTTATTTGAGTTATTTCATCCCTTTCAAGTCTGCTTTGATTGCAAAAGTTTCACACAATAAATGACAGGATTGATTGTAGTGTCTAAAATTGTCACATATACTGATTTCTTTCCTTGTGATTTCTTTTACTTGCCTCCTTTGTAGGTAGATTAGTGCATATTTTTCAAGAAGAAATATCATTATGAATTTATGATGTATTACTTTGAGAAGTTTTCTTTGAGTTTTTCTTGAATTTGATCATTTATAAGCCGTAATATTGACCTCCTTTTTGAACTTTCTTAGGTTATTAATGTTTCATCACCGAACACTCCCGGATTGCGTATGCTTCAAGGAAGGAAACAGTTGAAGGATCTTGTTAAGAGGGTATAAATCTCTAGCTGCAAACTTAATCATCCTTCTGTATACATCAGGGAGAACTTCACTCTTCTCAGTTATGCTTTGCTTCTTATGTCAAAGGTTCAAGCTGCTCGTGATGAAATGCAATGGGGTGAGGAAGGTCCTCCTCCATTGCTAGTTAAAATTGCTCCGGACTTGTCTAAAGAAGACCTTGAGGATATAGCAGCGGTATGCCCCAAGTCTCTAATTGCATTTAGACGCTACTTCATTTCTTACCTGTATTATGTTCTTATTGTTTCTTTTTCTTTGATTTTAGGTTGCTGTTGCCCTCCGATTGGATGGATTGGTATTTTTCTTCCAATTATAAATTCTGTATATTGCTTGTCCACGTCCTATATGATTAGAAGTTTCTTCTTGATGGTGGCCTTAAGTCGTTCTTTCTATATATGCCTTTATAATCCATATGACAATTTTGCTCTTTTACTCATTTTTCCCATATGATTTTTTTCTCTTTTGCTTTTCCATATTTTCCCTGACATTCCCCTCTTTCCTGTTTTCTAGATTATAACAAACACAACCATTTCGAGATCAGAACCTGTAGATAAAAATCCAGTCTCTGCAGAAGTTGGTGGCTTAAGTGGGAAGCCTCTCTTTGATTTGTCAAACAACATCTTAAAGGAGATGTACATGCTAACAAGGGTATGTTATCTATTCATATAAAAAAAATCTGATATATCGGGTCTGTTGGTCTTTCATTCGTCCTATCTTCTATTTTTAAACATGATTGTAGTGATTCGATATGATAATATCTTCTGCCTTTCTTTGCCAAAAGCCACACTCTCGAAAATACAGAAGTGGAAGTTTACTATATAAAACATTGGGGTGATTTTTATAATTTGGCCAATGAGAACTGTATATGTTTTTTCCCCATATTTCATTACCTTATTGAACATCCCAAGATGCTTCAAGTTTATACTCTTGAGGGCATTATAATTTGATTATTATGTTGTTTGTCCCTGATTATACTTTGAATTTGGATGTGAGGACCTAAAGCTTCATAGTTTGACGAGCTGCCCGTATTATTGAAGTTTTGATGGTTTCTTGCTGTTTCTTAATATCTTCTCTATGCAACACCATTTTCAAATCAAATTTGTAAAGCTTTCAGATACCTCGACTCGTCCGAGTTTCTGTTGTTTTTCTTGTAAAGTTTTTAAATAGTGTATCATGCTTATAAAGTTGACATGCATACTTCTTTGCAGGGAAATATCCCCTTAATAGGCTGTGGTGGTATTAGCAGGTAAAGTCCGTATACCTATTAATCATTACCAATTCATCTCATCATCTCAACGATGTTACTATCACCGTCATCACCATCGTCACTACCGTTATTTTAACTATATTTACACCTCCATTGTTAATTTGAATTATGCATTCAATGCAGTGGTGAGGATGCATACAAAAAAATAAGATCCGGAGCAACGCTAGTTCAGCTGTATACAGCATTTGCATATGGAGGCCCTGCCTTAATTCCCCGAATAAAGGTATTCTCTGTAAGTTTCCGAGTTTCTATATTAATTCATTTATTTTCTTTCTGCTTCACATCCTAAAGGATGTTAAAGATTACAAATTGTGACAGAAAGATGCTGTCTCCTACGAAGACAGCATATTTATCGAGTCTTGGATTTCACACTCAACTTGTAGCTTTGATTCTAAGAGGGCTGTTGTTAATCAAAATACCCGTATCTGACATTTTCGGACAGGATATGAGAAATGACATTCTAAATGCATGACAGAACTTATAAGAGACTAAATATATCCATAGGACACTCGTGGCAGAGTCGGAGTAACATTATTTTTCGTAAAATGTTCGGCATCGGTATCGTGATCGTGATGGTATGTTTTGGGCAGGCTGAACTTACTGAGTGCTTGGATAGGGATGGTTTCAAATCTATCCATGAAGCTGTTGGTGCTGATTGCAGACGGTAATAACTAATACCCGCCTTACCCAAAAAACTTTCGTCATTTATAAATTAATCTTTGCCTCCCGGATTTAATATTTTATCCGATTTGGTCACTTTTGTTTCATTTTCATAAAAATCCATCCTTCAACCTTTCATGAGCTTGAGAGGGATTTACAATGTACACTATGAGAAAACAGTTGTGATACAATGTATCATGCAGAATTGATTTTTTTTTTCTCTCGAAAAAGTCGATCGAGTTCGTTAACTACTTGAGTCGAACATTAAGATATGCGAAGTTTGATATTAAATCTGTTTTAGAACTCTTTTATCTGGATTTGAGATTAGTATTAAATATGGGAAGGTTGATGGCTCTGCAGTAGGCCGTGGCACAGCCTCTCTGGACTGTTCATGGACCCTAGACAACCACTTCCAACTAATTATATTAAATTGGATTGAATTAAATATGGGACATGTACCCTTAAATGGAACACAAATAGATATGGAATAACCACCCATATCTCCTCGCTATTTGCATTGCTTCTGGATGATTGCATGTGGTTTAATTTCAGCTGCCAAACTGTCCCAAATATAATGGAATGCGCCCTTTATTTTATTGAGTTAATTGCAAAGGCGTCACTAAATTAGGGCTCAAATTTTAAATTAGCCATTAAAACTTCGTAACATTCTATATTAGTTGTTAAATTGTCAATATCATTTCAAAGACGTCATTGTCTTAGTTTAACAAACTGAACATCAAATGTCAATTTAGATATATTGTGATTTACATTTAAAACACGTAACAAATTATTAATATTGTGCATCATTAAACGAATATCTTGGATTTGATGGGTTATTTTGTAAAATTTTAATGACAAATCCGATTGTTCATGCAAAACATGTGTTTAAAATTTGATCCAAAAATTTTAAATATGTTCCACATCGAAATCGAGTTGAAATTTAATCTCAAATAGTTTGTTTAACTAACAAAATGATGTGTTTGCAATGGTATTGATAGTTTGTAGTTTAATTTAGAAGACAACATAAAATTTAGGGATGTCCAGTACAATTAATTCATTTATTTTTTCAGGACACAGTATCGAGAGACCCATTTTCCCATCTTCCCTCGTGTTTCCCAATTCCTTCTGTTTTTTTCCTGGAAACTGCAATATCTTTCACCATTTTGATCCGTTCGAGGAAAAACAATCACCGTCTCCCCTGCATCATAAAAATGGCTAAAACTCAAGCCATTGCACTGCATGGATTTCACCACACATTTACTCTTTAGGGAATTTATTTCACAACTTTGAATTAACCGCAGTCATTTTTGGATACCAATACAGTAAACTCACTGCAGTAGTTAATGCTAACAAATTTTGAAGGACAGAGTGATACAATTGCAAGCCAAAGTTTCAATGCGATCTGGCTTACTGAAGACCATCGAAAACCATATTCGACGGTGAAAACACGAGACCGAGCAAGCCAGTTATGGAAGAACAGATAAATTGAACGCAAACTGAGCATTGAATCGACGAAAGATAATTTTGCAGCTGAAGCAGAATTAAGTGCAGATGAAGCTGGGAACAACAGATGGGTCTTTTTTATTAACACAACAGGCACCCAAAACAATCCAACTTATATAGTGAACACATTATTTGAACGCTGAAAAAAAAATCTAAGAAATGGCTAAGAATACGGCTACAAATTTTCCCAGACAGGGGTCTTACAGAGAGGAGCTAGAGCCAGAGCCGGAGCCGGAGCCGGGGTCTTTTATCTGTCACACAGCAGTGCCGATCGCGTAGTCAACATCGACGATGAAACTGGGAGATAGGGCACATCACGAGCCAAAACGTTCAATGCTAAACTATCCCAGATAGCAGCAAAGAAACTAGTAATTCTCAAACACCATTAGCAAGAACTGTTGTTCCACACATTCAGGGATAACGTAAGTCCATAGTGGTAGCATCCCTGTCATAGAGCAAATCTTGGGTTATCGGCATCAACCACCCAATATCGGTTAAACCGATCCGAATTCCGACAATGCAGTTTCGACATGGGAAATAAACCTACATGGTTTCTTCTTCAAAGCAAGCATTCTCATAAAAAGTATATTAGCAAACTTGACTAATCACAAAACAAATCCCCAAATTCAGCAGGCAGCCGATGGCGAAATTACAATCACCAAAACCCTAATCCTTGACTCCCTCTCCTCCAACATGAACCATCAAAACCCTAAAACAGATTGTGAATGCTCTAAAAGCCTATCAATCATCAAATAAAAGTGTTGAGAGAAAACCCTAACTTGAATCCCATTCATCATTCCATGCTCCAAAGTTATCCACCTCAAAACCCTAATTCCCTAACCCTAAAATTCCAACTAGAAATCATCTTCAACATTCACACACAGCAAAAGCAACAACCATACACAAATATTTATAACACACACACATATATATATACTCCCAACGACAGGGGTAAAATGGGCCACCAAAATTCATCGTGGATCCTCCTCTCTCCGACCCGATCCTCCCGGTGCACCGGAAAGTGAGGCTAGTAAATTTAGATGACCGGGAAGATAATTGCCGACCCTCGCTGCCGACGCTTCTCCCATAGCTTGCTGTTGCTGAACGAACAACGCAGCAGCAGCACCATGTTGCTGAGCAGCCGTCTGCACCATCAAATCCGGCGGCGCCGCCGCCGCCGCGAAGCTCCACAATTGACCAAAGTCGTGCCTTGTCGGAAGAGCCCAGAACCCACCAGCATGCGTACCCGCGGATCCCACAATGGACCCTACGCCGCCTGGTCCAACGGTGAGCCCACTGGAATCGTCCTTCCCGTCGTAATCGTCATCGGACCTGAGGCGCTTCCCGAGTATAAAAGGAGTGGGACCCAGTAGAGGCTTAGAAGTGGTCGACGACAAAGAAGTGGAATTAGTCCCGCCGCGAACGGAAACCGAGACGTTGGATAAGCTGGCGGGGGTGGTCCCGTACCAGTGGCGGCTATGATAGAAGGTTCAGCATGACGCAAAAGCCACTCGATGGTTTGACCGTCGGATTTATGACCCAACTCGCGAGTCAACTGGAAGACACGAGCGGCACAAACGATGGGCATCCTGATCCTCCTTCCACGACCATCGACTTTGCTGTGACGGTCCTTGGTGGGCGGCTTCTTAACGGGGAGGGAACCATTGGTTGGCGGCACCGTTTTCTGTCTCTGAGAGTCCATTAAGGCTCCATTCGTAGCAGCTCCGGTACCATCTGAATTCGACATGGGTGGAGCAGGAGTAGGACTACTACTACCTACACTCTTTTTCACTTGCCCTTTATTTTGTTTTACACTGAAAAAAAAGGGATTGTCTTTGATGTTCGGGGTTATTGTTGGTGAAGAGATTAATGGACGGAAACCAAAAATCTTGTAAGAAAATGAATTTGGAATCAGAATTTTTCACAGAGAAGAAGTGTTGAGAGAGAGAGAATGCTGATGATTGAGAGGCAGTGGCTGGTGGAGACATGAGGAAGGGCACATGGGTGGTGGGTCCCACCACCAACAGAGCCACAGCTCATACCCCCTCCCGCCTGTCCTTCCCCCAATTTCTCTGTTCTATTTCACGCGCCTCCACTTCAACCTTTTTTTTTTCAATGAGGCAAGGTGATTATGATTTTTCGGTATTAGAATCTAACAAGGTAAAATATAACGGAATTTGATTCACGAAAAAAAATATTATCTATAGGAATAATTTTTTTTAAAATTACAATTGTTTAGTTCACAGAAAATATTAATATCATATAATAATTTATTAGTAATAATAATATTTTTGTTAAAATAATGAGAATGTTGTTATTTTAAATTCTTGGGTATTACATAATTTTCGTCAATTTAATCTATTGATCGGCTAATTCAAATCGAGTACTACAAAGGTAAGGGCGATCATCCTAACCTAGTTTGCTCAATTTACAAACGTAAAAATTCGAAACCCTTACCTTGCTTAATGAATTTAGTGTTTCATCCCACTAGACCAACTGGTTGTTGGTAATTTATATTATATTTTTAATATTTAATATATTAATCCTTAACAAGTTTATGAGGCAAAAAAATAATATTGTTAAATATATAATTATTTAAAATAATACTTAACTTTGTGTTATTAAAAAATATTTCTTATACATTAAAAAATAATGTCTTTGTCAATTCGAGGCCATAATATTTTTATATAAAAAAATGATATTTATGAAAATTATTTTAAAATATAAATTTAATATACTAATTATATTAGTTATATGCTAAATGTATATTTTTCCTCAAAATTAGCGTAACAATTAAAATTTAACTTATTGAAAAAAAACATATATCACATGAATAATTTATATGATTAGTATAAACAAACTCCCTATGAGATTAAAAGTTATAATTTAATTATTTAATTAAAATACTATTATAAACAAGTTACTTAGTTGTTAAAATTGAAAAAAATGTCTAATGTGATATGATATTATAATATTTTTAGTCTCTAAAATTTATATAATCTATCAATTTGATACTATCAAATTAAGTAAGCCAATCAAATTAAATTTAAAAATTAAAACTATTATTATATCAAACTACGCCATTCTTTTGCATAATATTTAATCATTAATACTATATTTATAACAATATTTCAATTAATTAACTAAATTATGTTTTTAACAGATGTTATTTATAATTAACAATTCAATCACACAAAATGTACTTTACCCAAATTCATAGCTATTTATAGTTTAATAATCAAGGCTAATCATTATTATGCCACGACATGCATTAGCTACCCACTTTTTTAATCTAAAAATAGAAATTATGTGCATCTTATCATTGTTGTGACCAAATAAGGATGCATTTATCATTAGATATATCACATATATTAGTTAGTTGTCATGATTAATGATTTGTGCAGCTTTTGACTCATACACCATTCTTTATTTTTTAAGGTTTGATATAATCTTAATTTAACTGATATTATTGTTCATGTACTAATATAAAAAATATATATTTGAAAATATTTAAATTTATAATATTCCACAATTTAGCTAAGGATAAAATAGGTTAGAGGGAGCATGAATCAAGTTATTTTTGTGATTAAAGAAAAGTTATTATCTAAAGAGATTCAAAATTTGAGCGAATAAAACGGTAAGAATATTTAAAATTTTATTATTAAATAATTTAAAATATTTAAAATATATATTATTATAATCCTTAT